CTCCTCGTTTTCTCAGTGGAGCTGCTGGTGGCTGGTTTCGAACTGCTGACTCAACTTACTGTGCCACTAGGGTTCCTCGAGTGATCCGACAGGCAGTGACTCTCAACCTTCCTCATGCAGCGACCTTTTAATACAGTGCCTCATGTTGCAGTGACCCCCTGACACCACAAAATTATTTTCTTTGCTACTTCATCACTGTCATTTTGTTATGAATTGGGCGACACCTGTGAAAGGGTGGTTTGACCCCCAAAGGGTCACGACCCACAGGTTGAGAACCGCTGCAGTAAGGCATCCACATTTACACCGAGCCTCTTAGTTATTTGCAAAGTACAAGCTGATTGTTCCTTATATGTGGGATACAAGAAGGCTTTCCCCCAGTTTGTCAGACCTAGGACACTGCTTGCAACACACAGTAAATGATTGTAGCACACTCAGAAGCAAGCTGCTTAGAAGTTATCTCCCTGAAGGCATCAGCCATCCAGCACAATCAAGCACTATTGTTTATCCCACTGTAGATGGGACTCACACCCTACTGAAAAGCATAGTGATTGTTTCCTTGGAGAGCCCACTCAAGGACAACTAAGCTAGGCTGCCATCTTGAATATAGGATCCCCCCCATCTTGTCACATGTGTACCCTTAATCCCTCCTCTTCCTATTGTGTGTATACCCCTAGATTGTCCCCCTCCCACTGCTATATTGCCTATGGTACAACCCCTTCCTGTGATGTATATGGTTACCTGTAATCAGGGGGACTTGCATGTCCCTAAGTATATATAAGCCTTGGTCAGAAATATATTCACTCTTTCCTCCTCTGTTCACCCACCTCCACATGGACCACCAAGACGGGCTGAGGTGAGCATGCTACCATGAAATGTGTCTGACTCCTTTATTTTATCTTCTCTCCAATCTCTCTTATTCTCTATGACTTTACTACAGTCTTTATATATTATCGCTGTACAATTGTGCCTATTTGTGGGATATGAAGAGTATGGAATAGTCTGTGCCCGATCATTTCAGTTCATAGTAAAATAGGCTTGTTGCTCAGTAGCTTCTCTGAGCTACTCTCTTATCCCACTGGCCACTGATGACCACATCAAGGGCAGTCTCCCGATTCAAAGAGAATTGTTCATAGTGGGCTAAGACTCAATTCACACGCTGGGTGGAGCCATCCTCAAGATTTTAACTTGGGAACCAGAGGGAATCAATTGTCATTGGTTGTGGACTTGTGTGGTGGTGTTGACTTTGGTCTGGGGCTGCTGGCTGAGAGAGAGAATGGAGGGAGAAGCAGGGGGAGAAGCAACGATGACAGGGTTTGTGACATCTCTGAAGCATGAACACGGCAGGTTTGGTTCCAAGTAGCCTTCCAGAGCTGGTCCTCTCATCGGCCGGGCTTTACCTGATGCCTGTATTCGTGAGACTGTCCCAATGCCCGTCAAATCACTTCCCTTACTTAGCTGGCTTGGTATTTGTTTGTTTTGTCTTTGCTCTCAGTAAACAAAGTACATTAACCCAAATGCATCTTTCCATTAGGTCCTCTTTGGGCCTTCTCCAGATTTGCCCCTTCTATGCACCTCCTGGGCAGACATCATTTATGGTCTGCCAGTGAAGGCCTGCATGTTGTTGTTATGACGCTGAGCAAGTTTCATCAAAGCTTCCAGACTAAGGCAGGCTAGGAAGAAAGGCCTGGAGATCTACTTCCAAAAATCAACAGATGAAAACCTTATGAATCACAATGGCCTGCAACAAATCAAAAGGATGATGCCGGACCAGGCAGCATCTCATTTCATTGTCCATGAGTTGGGGGGCAATTTGATGGCAGTTCAGAACAATGATGACAATGATATGAAGCTCTACCCTGACTCAAGTCCACCTGCAAAGATGTGAATTCAGTCTCCCCCCCTTGAAGTCGCTGCCTTGGCTTACCTGTTAAGGAATGTGCTATGGGGAGCTCCCTACACACTTGCTACTGGCTTCAGCTGCCGCCTCTTGAGCTGGCCTACTTCTAAGTTGGGTAATGATGAACCCACAGGTATCTAATTGTAGCAAGAGTTTTAAACCATTTTTTTAAGCTGATGACTTTTATATACATAGCAAGCAGGGGAGAAATGCTCTTGCTACAGGAATAACTAACATGCCAGACACGTGCTACTGGTTTTATGTGCATGGCTTCATCCATGGCAACCCAAAGTACCATAAGAAACATGCTTATCTGCTGCACTGAGCCTAATTTTGCTTCCCTCTCTTTTTTAGAGGAAAGGTGGCAAATCTTTTCCCCAAATATAGTATGGCCTGGCTCGGAGAAAGTTCTCATGATCACTATGGACAAACAAAAACCTTTCAATGTGACTGCAATCACTGGAATTGTGTTCAACATTCTCCTGCTTAATGAAGTACCTGGGCCAGCAGGTGAAGTAGCCTTCACCAGCAACAACCAAGGAGTTCTTCAGCACACACTGATCTCAAGCCAGAACGTTCGGCAAGTTACTATGACTGCTCGGAATCGGGATTTTGAGCGACTTTGCGGTTATTTTATCATATCCTTGTGCTCAGTGCACATCGGGATCTAAAACGGGAAGTGCAGAAGCTATTACGCTTGGCTGCTTTTCAGCCGCAGTTGAAGACAAGGGGCTCAGTCTAATGGAAAAGCTGTTCATGTCCCCAATCCTGTGGAAGCCACATGGGGAATCTTCTAAACTGCTCGGTTAGCAACACAGATCTGCTGATGTCAGGTAATTTCTTGATACACAATCGTAAGAGAAAGGTAGTATTTAAAGGACTCTATGAAGCAGAGTCCTGGTGGTGTAGTGGTGGTGTAGTGCTTACACGGTGGGCTGTGATCCGCATGGTTGGCAGTTCAAAACCACCAGCAGCACCTTGGGAGAAAGACTGCCCCCGTCTCTGGAAGCTTCTCTTCCCCAAATACACAGGGACAGACTAGGAGTGGTCTGGGTCCATAGTGCAGTTCCGGTAATCCCTGCTGGGCCACCAATTCCTTAACCTATTCTCCCTTGGCATCTTTATCTGTAAAATGAGGATTCTATTCTTAGGGTCATTGTGAGACTGATGTAAGATCATGCAGTACATCAACAGTACCCAGGACTTAGTATGAGAATTTCAACAAGTTCATGGAAAAATGGAATGGAAAGAAAATGCAATTTCCCCATGAACTTGTTTGAAGCCCCTGCATAAATACTAAATGTAAGCCATTAGTTCCATGCTCCAGGTCTAGCTGATCCACATCAGAATTATCTGATTTGGGATGGAATTTGGAATTAGGATGGAGGAGATTTTCCTTGTAAGTAAACCTGTGGCATGAAGCCGTGGCACCTTGCTTAAAGATATGATGAGCAGGGAAAGGCAGTCTGCAGAGAGGAATCCATTGTCTCTGTGACTGGAACACAGTTCAGGCCAGGTTCCTCCCTTTCCTGCATCCAGCTCTGTACTCAGCCTGCCTGCCTTCCAAGCCCGAGCTTTTGGGAGACAGCACTTGCTACTAAAAAATGTGTCTACCAGATGCGCCTCAGAAGAAAGGCCTGGCAATCTACTTCCAAAAACTCAGCCAGTGAAAGTGCTGAGGAGCACAGTTCGACTCTGAGACGTGGGGTTGCCACAAAGTAGAGTTGACTCCATAAAAACTGGTTTTTGGTTTTGCTTAGACTAGCGCTGGGAGTCTATTATTTGGTTAGTATTTGAACAAATACACCTAAATCTAGAAAAAAGAAATCTGCTTAAGATGGGAAAAGGAGGTGTGAACTTTAAATTTCATCATTTCAGAGTAAAGCAGAATAAAATATGCAACAAGCGAACGGCCACAATATTCCCTTGTAATGAATTAGTACCAGACTTTTCCCCAGAAACTCTCTTTCTGTATGCATTTTTTGTCTTCAGACTTTGATCCTTTTTGATCCAAGGACATATACAATTACGTTTTATTTTATAATTTCCTTTAAAACAAAATAAAACACAGTTGGTGCATCTAAGGTAACATGCAATGACAAAGAGAAGTATCTGTAGAAGGAACCTCTACTCCAGGATTTTTAAAGGTAGTGTGGGATGAGATCTTTCTCATGGAGAGCACATGGTTCTGATTTTTATGACAGTAAGCAAGATTTTAGCAAGAAAAAAGGAAAATTGTATAGTCTTGGGTGTCACTATGCAGACATAGACCAGGACCTTTCGCCTCTTCCAGCCTCATCACCACCACCAAATCACTGATGAGACCGTGTCAGCTCTTTGGCCTGAAGTGGAAAGAAAGTGGGATTTGGGACTCTGTGCGTCACTTAAGGAGCCCTGGCAGCACAATGGTGATGTGCTTAGCTGCAGCCAGTCAGCAGCTCCCACTCCCCGGGAGAACAGGCCTGATGGTCTGCTGGTGTCATTATGGCTTCACGGGGAAGTTCAAGGTCCCTGGTGGCTGTGTGGAATACGCGAACCTCAAGGTCCACATCTGCAGCTCAACATCTGCTCCCTTAACAATCTAAGGTCTCGGAAACCTTGCGTCCAGTCACCATGGGACAAAGGCAATGGGGTAAGGGGTAGTTCTATTATTTCCTCTAGGGTCGCCTTGAGTTGGAACTGAATCCACAATAGTCGTTTTTTGTTTTTAGGTCCTTCTGGGCTCTTTTAACCCTGAAGGAGGCACTTAACCCTACGCCCTACGGATCCTGGAAGTCCTCAGTGCAGTAACTGTTCAGACTGTGGAGGGTCTGACGCCTAGACTACAACCTTTTCATGTCCTCCTGCGCCTCAAGTGAACCTTGGACTTCTAGGACGAATTCTGCAGCATCGTGTAGGAAGCGTTCTCTAAAGATGGACGCCACAACATTCATCAGCCCCGGGGTTGGGTTAAAAGGTGGTGGGTGGTGGGGAGGGCACACAGGCCACTCTGTGTGCGGTTCTGGCCCAGTCAACAGCAGAGCCTGGCGGGCATGAGCTCTTCAGGGTCGAGGTGGGCATACTCTTACAAAAAAAGGGCATTCTCAAAAGAGAGAGAACTTACCTGGGTTGAGATTAAAAATAATATTTAATAAATCTTGGTCTCCCCACGTGATGGCATTCTTATACTTCTGGTACAAGGGATACAACATGTCCTCCCACGCCAGCCCTGCTGGAGTCATGCTGTTCTGGAAGACAGAGAACCATCAGAGAGGCTGAGGCAAAGCAGATGTTTGCGTCCAGAATGAAACTGTACAGGGAACAGCTCCTTCCCTGTGGGGACTGGAGCCAATAGGCGAGGGGTCCTACCAACGACCAGACACAGGACGAAGCAAAATTTGGGGAGTGGTGTCAGTGTTGCCAGATATACCCAGGGACATTTGATGGATGAGGAACTGGCTGGGAGTGGGGAATAAATATGATTTAAATACCCATGCAAAAAAATGAAACATCTTTTTTATGCTAAATTCTTGTCTCTGGATTAAAGGGAAAACATCTTGATAGAATTAAACTACTCTTGAAAGGAAGAGGGGGAAGTAGTGGTTTTGTGGAAGAATTCTAACCTTCCACGGGGAAGATGTGAGCTTGCTTGATTCCCGGCCAATGCACCTCAGGCCCAGCCACACTGTGCATAGAGGCTTGCATGTTGCTGGATGCTGAACCGATTTCAGAGGGCCTTTCAGACTAAGGTCAGGAAGAAAGAACTGGTAGTCTACTTCTGAGAAATCAGCTCAGGAAGACCTATGGATCACGGTGGGCCAATCTGGGGGATGGCACCAGACTACGCAGGGTCTTGCTCCATTGTGGATGTGGTCCCCAGTCGGGAGTCAACTCAATTGCAGCTAAAACGACAATTGTCTGAAAATTTATTTATTTAAAAAGTAGCCACCCCCCAAAAAATTCCAAACAGCACAGAATTTCCTCCAGGAGGCGTCATACTGTATAGTCTCTTAGGTATTCACAAAGGATCATACTGTAGACCAGGCGTCCTCAAAATGGGGCCCGCCGAGGACATTTATCTGGCCTGCTGGGTGTTTTCGCCCCGTTTGTTTTTTTTACTTCAAAATGAGACATGTGCCGTGTGCATAGGAATTTGTTCATAGTTTTTTTTTAAACTATCGTCCGGCCCTCCAATGGGTTTGAGGGACAGTGAATTGACCCCCTGTTTTAAAAGTTTGAGGACCCCTGCATAGAGTATCATATTATACAACATTTTAATTTTTGACTCAGAGATCTTATTTATCACCACTTACGTCGTTGTTGTCTGAGTCAATCTCAACTCAGGGCAACCCCAAGTGGCACAGAGCAGAACTGCTCCTAGGGTTTCCTCGGTGACAGTCGCTATAAAAGCACATCTCACCTGTCATGATGCTGGGTGGCCTAGAACCACAATTCTTTCAGTTACCAGCCAAGCTTGAATCATTTGGGTGAAGTAGACTTGCCTAATTCTTCTTAAAAGGTATACTATTTTAAAAATTCATTCTCTATTGATAGTCATTTGGATTCTTTCCAATTTTTTCTCTGCTAGGATAAAAGATGAGGCAACAGACACTCCTGTACAATGATCTTTGTGTACTTATATAACTACATCTTTGGAGTACTTCCTAGACATTTTATATGATGCTGAAGCCCTGAATAAGCAGAGGTCATCCATTATAGAATTCAGAAATGCAAGAAGATACTGCTAAGGGGCTAACCAGCTGAACTGTAAGTTTCATAGATACCTGGCCTTGTGCCCAGTGAAATATTCCAAACTTCCTAAATACCTTTCATTCATTTTCTTGAGCCATCCCATTCTCATGTATAGGCCACACAGTTCCAAATCCAGCCGATGTCATTGCTGAAAATACAGTGCAGGTTTATCAACAAGGGATTTTACTACTTCCTTACCTTGAACTGGGTACTCCTGATGCGTGTTAAGTTCATTAACATGACCCCAGAGTTAACTCCTGCAGCACCATAGAAAGGGTGCCGAGCAAAGCGACTGTACCAGCCAATCTTGGGGATTTCATGCTCGGGGGCCATGGCTGCAAGCTGGGTAGAGTTAAAATGCCTCAGGAGTTTCCAGATGTCATCGACGGGTCTCAGAAAGAGAACGTCAGTGTCCACGTACAAAAGGGAGTCCACGTCTTTTAAAATCACCTTGTGTGTATTGGGAGGAAAGGAGGGAAAAAGCCAAACAAAACAAAAACAGGTCAGAAACCAAAATCTGACATATAAACAATGCCACCAATTTTCATCGATGACTGTTTGGTTCTAGAATAGTGCCCCCTCTTACCGCTCCTGACTTTCTTCTCCTTGGATGTGAGGAATGTGGCAATCAAGGGTCGGAGACTTTATTTAATATTTTAAATTGTGAAATGGGTGAAGGTTTGTGAAGCAGATCGGGTTTCCATGCAACAATCCCTATATAGTGTCCTGTCATCTCCCTGGTTGCAGCCCCCACAATGTAGTATTACTCATCTCTATTCTTCCCTCTGTGCCCCGCTGCCATTCCTCCTCCTTTCCTAGTCCTTCCAGTCTTCTGATCTTTGTCCTTGGGCAAACAATGCCCTTGTAGTATCAGACGATTCATTATTTTAAGCTGGGAGGGAAGGTACCTCATTAGTATTATTGTTCCCCTTATAGAGCTTCCTATTACTTGGCTGAAAAGGGAGATAAAATCTTGATCGGGGTTTGTCCAATTCCAGGACCCTGGGCTATATTTAATAACTGATGAATCTTTTAATGGATGAAAAAAAATCCAAAAATGACTAAAACCTTTTTTTTATCTTCCTTCTGCCACTCAGGTCAGCTGGCCTGGTGATATAGTAGACTAAATGAACATTGAGCTAACTGAAAGGTCAGCAGGTATGGAGGCACCAGCCACTCCACAGGAGAAAGGTGATGCTGTCTGCCTGGGAAAGATGTGCAGCCTCAGAAACTGTGAAGCGGTTTTACTCCGTCCTGTAGGGTCACCGGGGGACAGAATGATTATTGATGGTTGTGGGATGGGCCTTTTTCTTTTAGACTAGCTTTTCCTTGGGACAGCTGGGACTGGCACTGTTCACAGCCTGAAGGAGAACATCTCTTAGGAGACTAGGTGATGCCAGGTTTTGAAATAAGTATTCTCTATCTTTGGATTCATTTCATCTAGTGTCAATGGGCAAGGTTCTGCATCTTTTAGAAATGATATTTTCAACTAAGACTTGGACTTTGGAAGAGGCAAGACAAGGCTTTGGCCAGCTTTCTTGTTAGGTCAGGGATCAGCAAACTTTTTTCTTAAATACAAGATAATGAATATATTAGGCTCTGTTCCAAACTTCTCGCATCTGCTGTAACAGCCTGAAAGTAGCCATCTCTGGGGCATAAATGGCTGAGGATGGCTACCCTCCAATAAAACTGTATTTAGGGACACAGACACATCCTTTATATAATTTTCGCTTTGTTTTTGAAGGGCTAAGAATCTTCAGTAGGTGTGGACTAGGAGTCTGTGGGTCTTAAGAACCTCTGTGTACTTGTTGGTCTTCATCCCCAACTTCTTGGCCTGTTCCCAGGGCTTCCTGAGCTGCTTCTTTGTCCTGTGATGGATCTTGGCCTTCTCCTTCCTCTTCTCCTCCAGGGTGGCTGTCACCGCCTGGCACTTCCAGCCCACCTCGTGAGCTAGGTGGCCCAGGGAGGCAAAGTTGTGCAAGGGCTTCAGCTGGACCACCATCAGGCAGCAGAGACCACCATCTGCTTTCATTTGTCCTAGGGGAGTAGGGTCTCATAAAAAAACATTGAGGGCAAACAAGGTGTCTGGACCTGCTTGGTCTTATGGGGCTCCATGCCTCGCATGGTTTGCCAGAAGGTGCAGCTGGGGGCCCAGAATGGTAGGGACCTTGGGAGGGGTTGGTGTTCACATGTTTCTGGAAGAAGGGCAGGTATTTCAACTTTTTCCTGTAGAACAGCGGTTCTCATCCTGTGGGTCACGACCCCTTTGGGGGTTGGACAACCCTTTCACAGGGGGATCCTAAGACCATCGGAAAACACATCTTTAGGAACCGAGACCACTCCTCTATCGGTCTCCCGGCAGGTCCACCCACATGCAGATATGCCCACATAGGAGGACCCGGCGTGAAGACTGTTACCCATGCTACACCATGCTTAAAGACAAAATTTCATTTATTTGTAATTAGAAATAGATATTTCACAATAAATAATGACATATTGTTTTTGTCATTAATCACTATGCTTTAATTATGTTTAATTTGTAACCATGAAAATATAACTTGCATATCAGATATTTACATTATGATTCATAACAGTAGCACAATTACAGTCATGAAGTAGCAACGAAGATGATTTTATGGTTGGGGGGTTACCACAACATAAGGAACTGTTTTAAAGGGTTGCGGCATTAGGAAGGTTGAGAACCACTGCTGTAGAAGTTTCCAGAAATGTTGATGCCTTCACAGCGCAGGCCATCACTGCAATAGTTGCCACAGCCCAGTGTGGGGGACCAGCCTCCCCACAACCAAACAGATCCAAGGGGTGGATGTGTAATTGAGCAAATAAAGAGATATCAGATAAGACATGCAAGGACTCATCTCTTCCATGGCAACTGGAACCAGAATGAGGCAGTCCTGTATTCTCTCCCAAGCTGATCGAACTTGAGCAGGCAAGCTACAGTAAGCATGTACATAAACAGGAAGAGGTTGCGGTGCAGTGGTTCTCAACCCGTGGGTTGCAACCCCTTTCGGGGTCGAACGACCCTTTCACAGGGGTCTCCCAATTCATAATAGCAGCAAAATTATAGTTATGAAGTAGCACAAAAATAATTTTATGGTTGGGGGGTCACCACGACATGAGGTACTGTATTAAAGGGTCACGGCATGAGGAAGGTTGAGAACCACAGTGTTAGAAAGATACACATAACCTGGCGATAAGCTAGGGGTATACACGCAATAGGAAGGGCAGATACAAGAGGCATACATGTGACAGGAAGGTACATATGTATTATAAGACGGGCAGGTTCTAGAGTTAAGATCACAGCCCAACCTTAGTTGTCTCTGAGCTGGCTTGACCAGTGGTGTCCCTGAGCTCTTTTCCAGAGGAACAATCTATGATTCTTATCAGAAGGGAGTGGGCCCTACTTAGGGTTAGATGGTCTGACTGCTTCTGCTGGCAGATAACCTTTAGGCAGATAGCCTTCAACCAGTTGACTTTCAAGAGTATAGTAAGTGACCGTGTGCTTGCAAACAGCACCTTAGAATTAGCAGTATTATGGGGGACATTGTAGGGAATAACTTTTACTAAGGAGAATGTGATTGGGACGCATCTCCAACCCATGGATGTGAAGGCCTCCCTCCACCGGAGCCCCAGTCTTCCAGAATCCTTAACGTCTGAGTGCAGAGAATTTGTCCGCCTATACTCTCTTTCGGGCTCTGTTTCCCACTGCCCAGGAGATAGCCTCAGCCATCGAGTACCGGGACCTGCCCCTCGCCACCGGTGGCTGACATGTGGTACATTAGGCAGGATTCTCTAGAGAAGCAAAACCAGGACACTTATCTAAGAGGATAGGTTTATATAGCGAAAAGAAATATAATAGCAAATTTGACCACACGGAAGTCCAGAAAGCTCAGTCGACGACTCACTTTAATGTACTAAAGGTCTTTTCAACTGCAGCACTCGCCCAAGGCCAAGGAAGCAGAAAGTGGGAGGTTGAGGTGGCGAGGCGGCCAGTGCACAGCATGGTGAAGCAAGTCATAGTGGAGCTTCACGGTGTAGTGATGCGAGGTGGCAGCATCTGGAGTGGTGGCAAGACAGGTGGAATTCGCTCACGGGTGACAGACATGGCAAGGTGGAGCAGTGCCAGCAATGTGGTCCACGTTAACGTGGCAAGAAGGTGGCGCAATGTGCTGCACAGCCACAGGTAGCACAGCCCACGTGATGAGGCAGGGTAGTTCAAGGAGAGAAGGTGTGTGGGGGGCATCTCCATCTTGGTGGCACCTCCAAGGGAGGTCTTCAGGCTGCGACCTGGTTGACAGATTAAACTGCACCCATATCTTCTTGCAGGTGCCAGGTTGGCACAAAAAACCTAACTACCATACCTGGCCTCCATATACTTTTCTTCATTTGATCTTCCCAACAATATATACCATAAAAGCCGTTCTCAGCTCAGGGGTCATACCTAGCCATTGTCTTACAGTTCACAGATGCCAGCTGCCTGAGGTGCATGAGCTCTCCAGCGCTAACTGCTCAGCTTACCAGATTTTAGCTCTGGGTTTGGAGACTTTAAAACCCACCCAGTAATAAAGTGTCCCTAAATTTAGGCATAACCTAAGTTTGGCGTAACCAAAGAAAGGCTTGAACCTTCCTAGATCCCTGGGCTGTCATCATCCTAGCACCATAGCAACCACCCACCAGGCCCCTGCGTATCTAGAATGGATGAAAGGGCTGCTTCAAGGGGTTTTCAGATCGAGCAATTTCAAAGCCTATGTGATTAATCACAGGATTTATCTTGCTTTCCTCATCTCTTAAAAGAATAGGTTTTATAAACTAATAAAATGAAACTAAAAGCAATGACCATCTACCATCATGTTTTTATGAAAGATTGCCTTGATACTTGTTTTAATAACTTCACTATCCTGTCAGGATTAGGATGAATTCTTTAATTGAATATACTACAGTTAAATAAATCTACCATATTATCCTTGTTTTTTCTTCTAAATCCATGGCAAAGTAAAAGGTTTTACGAAGTAAAAAGAATTTACTTTGTCATAGACAAACCCTAGTCTACTGATGCCATTTAAAAACCAGAACTTCAGTCCCATGGAGAAAGGGTACACTCTTTATAAAAGCATTAATATTATGATCCAAATGATATATTAGATGTACATATATGAATTATTAAACCAATAACATTTTATATGTAAATACTGTATTAAATACTAGTTAAGACACCCTGTACCCTCAAGAGCATCCCAAGGGCTCAACATCGGGCACATTCATTTTCTGAGAGAGAAACCTGAAGCACAGCCACGTGTTCCATCCAAGTTCATGTGTCACATACTGTGAGTGATACAAGCTTAAGAAAGCAAGAAAGCAAGCTAAGCCACTTTCTAATATGTATTTAAGGGAACCAGAGACTTCACAGTTGCATGGAGTTCCAAGAAAAAGTG